GGCTCCAGGGGGGCTTCTTGGGCCTGCAGTCCTGCCCAGGCTTTCACAGAAACCATAGAGCAGAAGGGGCAGCTGATGGTTGGGGGTGACAGTCATGTCAGTGGGGAAGCCCCAGGACAGTGTGTAAGGCAGCACTTAGAAAAGAATGTACCTGACTCTGTGGGCCCCCCGCACCTACACTGATGCAGGTCCCTGAGACGCCACCAATGACAGTTCCCTCAAACAAAAACTAGTCAATCTTTCCACAATTTCCCCACCCTAGTGTTCATTCTGGCTGCCCGAGCAGATTCTGGTCAGGGTCCTCCTCATCAGTCTTCTCCCCAACTGCTGGGGCTGGACCATTGCTGACAGTGCTCTGGGTGACAGGTGGCAATCTGTAGAGGTCATTAACTCCAGAGCACCACATTTTAATGCAAAAATGAGCCCTTCCAAATTGGTGCAGCTGCGATGCTATATAAAGAAATGGGGATTTTAATGTTTTGCTTTTCTTCCCTTTTCTAGTGCCACATTATCATAACATTTTCCCATAATTACGCCCATAAAAGTCACCTGAAAATACTTCACACCACAAAAGTTGATCTACATATTTCATTCTGTGCATATCGAGTGGCAGGTCATGAGCTCGGAATTCCAGGGTGGAGCTCAGCTGAGAGGCCTGATGTGGAACAGAACTGTCAAGCTGAGTCCCTTTCATGGATTCGAGTGTCCTGGGTCTCAGGGAAGTCCAGCCAAATTGGCACTGGTGGGATTGAGACAACAGCATGGACGGTGGAGAAGTGTGAATACCCCCGCTGATAGTATCTCAGAGAAAGAGTCAGGATGGAGCTGGGGGTAAGGGAGAATGGGGCACAGTCAGACTTTACAGCCATGAGTCAGCACTGATCTTCAGAAAGACACTGTTCTAGACCCATCCAGAAGTCTCCTCCCCTAGGGGGTCTCCGCATGGGAACATGCCTTGAGGGGGTAAAAATCCCCCTGATCATAGGATATCAAGGTTATCTAATAAAAATCTCAGAGAGGTAACTTATCTTTATGTATTTGAAAGAAACGGTGTATCTTTCTATGCCCAAAATTCATCAAATAAAAACACAGTAAGAATTTTTTTTTCAAAAAACAGATGAAAAAATAAACTTCTGAATGGTGTCACTTCATTAAGCCTCCAGTATTTCAATTTCACCTCTTCTAGAGTTCCAGAAACAAAATGTGAACAGCAGGAAAGTAGCAAAGTCTAATCTCTCCTAAATATGCAATAAATTGTATTTATAAAGGAACTGCAACACCAGAGTGCTTACGCTCGGTTAGTATTCTAATGGATTAAAAACAATTCAAAAGTTGTTTGTAATTTCCTCCCATAGTCGCGGTTGAGGATATGAAATTTAACTGAAAGGTACAATTCAATTTTGAGGGGATTTATTTGAAAAAGTACTATGTCAAACACATAGTCAAACTGTCTCTCCTCCTCATAGCTCCCTGGTACTTTGAAATATGAACTGTCCCTCATCATTCACCTGCTAGGAATGTCTGCCTGTCCACCAAGTCCTACTGAAGAGGGGACTTGCTATCTATGATAACATGCAGTGTCCTTCACCTTGATTTAAATACGGCATACAAGTGCCAATGTCAGGACTCAGGTGTCATAGGTCATCATTTTCTCAGTCTTTCTTGCTGTTATTATATCCAATATGCCATAAACCAGAGTGGAGAGATAAAATCTTCCCAGGGGAGCACAGAACACCATCAAACAGCTCTGCTTGTGTCAGAGAGATCCCATTCCATTCGAGAACCATGTCTAGCAGACACACCTCTCTACTCCAAATATGCTAAGGAGAAACAATCTATATATGCTCTGTTAAAGTCACAGTCAGAGGGGTTGCCTCAGACCAGACTGAAGAAGAGTTTCAACTTCTCATCAAAGGGTATCATCACTCAAGTAAATTCATTACCAGCATTGGCTGAGGAAGAAACCAACCCTACTGTCAACACAATGTACACAGATGACAGAGCATGCATTTTAATCTGAGCAACCCAGGGCCCCTCCCCGCTTCCTTTTTTTTTTTTTTTTTTTTGCTTTTCCTGGCAATTCTTCCCCAGTAGGAGAAAATGACAAGGCTGTGTCACTATAGCAACGAGCCTAATTGGTGGACTGCAGGTCTTTCTCCAGCCAGAGGGTGGAGCCCATCTCCTTAAATATGAATCTCAGTATTTAGGCAAGAAGGCAGGACTTTCACTGGGCCAAGAGCAGTGGAATACCCTCTAACAGAAAACCAGGTCAAGAAATAATACAGTTTCCTTTTAGCAACACTAGGAAGTGAACCCCTTATGTGTTGCAGAGAAACGCACAGATTTAATAGTCAGGATAATTGAATCCTGTATGATACTTATCAGTTTTCCTAATTAATATGATATAAATATATCTGTTCCATAACACAAAAACATTTTGAGTAATAAAAATCCTTACTGATAACAAAAACAATTTACCAACAAGAATGCTAACTATTCTTCCTCATTCCAGATATACTGGAAGAGAGAGTGGAAATCATAGGAACTGTTTAATTTGCATTTAATTAGCTTTATCAATTCTTTTTTTAAAAAGTATTTTTTTCTCAAAGACTGCAGTTCCAAGTGCTAAATTATTATTATGTCTATTTTGTATTTTAGTGAAATGTTTTAATTTCTTCAAGTGCATTTCTGGTGTAATGGGGTGTGCCCAAAAATGTTATCTTATTGTCAATTATTCCATTACATAGAGATGGAAACAACCATAAAAATGTGGTTCATCCAAGCTTCTGTTATTAATGATTTCTGCTATTCTGGATAAGACACTTTCACCAAATGTCCTTGTCGTGGTGGAATAGCTGTTTCCAGAACACTAGGGAGGTCTCTTGAAGACGAATGAGCCTGTGAAACTGGATCTCTCATCGCTGGCGTGTCTGAGCAGCCGGCTCAGATGTCTGCATGCTGACACCCCGACTCAGCAGAGCAGGTGACAGTCTTGGGAAGGTGTGAGCAGTCAGGATGAACAAAGTGATAACACCTTGGGATTCAGGATGTGGCACAGGGCGGGAGAGGGCTGACGCTGCATATATCGAGAAAGTGGTACAGGGCAACACTCTGGCACCGGGTGTGCAAAGTGTTGAAGTCACAGGGCTAGGGTGTCATGTACTTAGTAACAATTGGCAGTTGTTCTTTTCCTGCACATGCAGAGCTGCGAGGAGGAGGGCGGTGGCTGTGGTACCTGTTGTCCTGGGTTCTGGAAGCCAGCCAAGGATGGGGCTCAGGGTACTACAGTCTCCTCCCTAAACACTGCTGAATGAGCCCCCTCTTAGATAATGCAACCAGGAAGTGAATTCAAATGGCTTCTCTTCAACACAGAGTTTACCTGCCATCAACCCTTTCAACATGGACAAAGAAACCTCACTTGGAGTTCGGCTAGGGAACCCCCTGAATACCACACTAAGGCTCAGAGACCGCTGGGGAGAACTCAGGGGCAGGTGCCTTGTGGCCAGCCAGTAAGTGAGTTCCCAGGGGCACTCCTAGGATGGCCTTGCCTGCTTGGGCTCGCGTTACAACCCCTGCTGACTGTGAAGCTTCCTGTTTGGCGCTCCCTCCCCGCGTGGTGCCACAGCAATTCTAGAGAAATGCACAGCCGGGCTGAAACAAGTAGGACAATTCCTGCTCTGAGCACCGGGTTTTCCTCCCTATTCATGCGGGCTGGGCTGTCCCAGGACTCGGCTACCGACTCAGCTGCTGCCCGGGTCTCCCTGGCTCGCAGGGGTTTCATTTTGGAGACAGTGGAAGCATGGGACTGGGATCTAGGAGGCTCTGGAGGTGGTGTGGGGGGCAGGGAGGTTTGGCGCTGGCCTTTTTTTTTTTTTGGTAAAGAATCCATATTTTTCCATTACCCATGGCAATTCTCCATGACAGGTGTTTCCCACCCGTCCTTCCCTCCTGCTGAGATGGGGAAGAGACCAGGAGCCTGTGTCTGGAGGCCGGGAGCCGACCAGCTCGCGCCATTCCCAGCCCGATCCTGTGCCTGGGACGCTGACTGCCCCCTACCCGCCCCGACCAGCTGTCAACACGAACCTGGGACGGTGACACCCACCCACCCCAAGTCCCAAGTCTGCATCCGGGATTCCAACCACCCCTCACTCAGCCAGCTCAGAACATGTGCCCAGACACAGACCACCCCCACTCACCCCAGGAAACCAGGAGCCCGTTACCAGTCACCCACCACTCCAGGCCCCAGCTTGCGCCCCCAGCGCAGACAAGCCCGCACTACTCCCAGCCCAGCTCCCGCGGCCCCGTGCCAGATCCTCTGGGTCGCCAGCTCTGGTCCCAGACATGATTGGAGAAATGCCCGTGGCGGCGACAGGCCCCCTCGGAGTATCCCACCCTTCACTTCTCTTTTTTAAGAAAACACCTGGCGAGCCCGCTTCCCAGGAAGGCAGAAGCTCCAGCCGCGCGTCCGAGCCCGAGCCCGAGCCCGAGCCCGAGCCCGAGC